CCCCCCCCCCCCCCCCCCCCCCAATTCATTCAGACCTACCTGTTAGCTCTCAGCCCAAATCTCACTTCCAGTCCCAAGCTGGGTTTGCTTTCAACGATCCTTTTCCTTCACAGCATTTGCTCTTGGTGTGTTCCTAGCAGCTCACATTGGCTTGGCTGTAGTAGGCACTGAAAAAATAAATGTGAGCATTGAGTGCCTGTGGGTTGAGAGGTGGAAACATTATTTGAACTGCACTCAACAATCTCAGCTTTCCTTCATTTCCTGTGGAACTTCCCTCAGTGGTTTTTCATAACACCATTTTTTTTACAGTGCTGTGTTTCTTTATAAATGGTCTGTCTTAGACCCAAATATAGCTACTGGAATTTAGCTGTTGAACTTTGTGATTAGATATTTTCACTTGTGAAGCACATCCCACAGAGTGGGCCATAATAATAGCACAGTTGTTTTGCAGTGTTGTAGTGTGTTTACATTACTACTTTGTCAATACCTGCAAAATTCAGGTATCTATCCATGTGCATGTGGTCTTATAATTATGGTCTCATTCTCAGTTTCTCTGATGCTAAAGTCATCACAGGCCAGCAGATCCTGAGAGATTCTCCTGAAACGCTGGTATTTTTTTATAACTTCCTGTGGGCGGGATTTTAATAAATCCTTCATTGGGAAAGACTGCATTAGCCATTATTGTAGATAGCACAAGGGAGCTGCACATGACACTCTGCGAGCAGCTGTGTGTATTCCCAGAACATTCTAAGCCAGCCCTAATGCTCAGGTGCCGAGCCAGGCAGGGCTTGGTGTATATACTAAGCCTGGATAGGAGCTGCCAGATGTTTAAGAGAATAAATTTGTGGGCTTCTCAAACAGATGGTGTTATATACTCTGTGCATTTGGCCATTTTACAAAATGAGCATCATCCATTATTTTAACTAATGTCATAAGTACCTTACAGTTGATCCATTTCCACATTTAACTTTTTAGCATATTGCAGAACTGTAAGCCTTAGTTAGCTTCATTAGGCTAAGGAAAGAGAAATAAAACATCAAAGCCTTCTATTCGGTGACTCCAAGTTGAAATTCAGTTACACATGTTTTTTATTGGGCAGCAGTAATGTGGTAGCACTCTGCTTGACCAGCAAAAAAATATGCAGCCTGGTTGAACAGTAACTAAAACTCAAGTATCAATAGAACGGAGGTTTTATGCAGGTCCTTCTCTGTCTGCTGTCCAGATCCACTCTCCCCAGGCTTTCCCCTGCCCTGAGTTCTGGGGAGAGTGACTCACCCTCTTGCCCTCTGGCTACTGATTAATTTAGCCAGTGGGAGAAGCCAGCGAGATCAGAGGGTAGGAGAGAGAAATCCCTGGGATCCAGAGTTCTCTCTGGGGCTGCAGGTTGGCAGTGGCTGTGTTCCTCCACCGCAGGTGGCAGCTCCTGCTGGCAGCCTTCACCTACATCTGCAGCCTCACTGGGTTCCAGGGCCAACTGCCCCCTTCCATTGTCCCACAGGCCTAGTGGGGCTTGTGTCTTCTCACAGTCTACTAGCTTCCCCCTCCATTATTGGTTTCCATTGGCCCTGTCCCCACCTTTGTAAATAATCTCATTTGAAATCATCCGCCATCATCCGTTTGCAGCAGATATGCTGTATTGACCAGATCAGAGAAAGGAGAACCGCCATTGGTCTAAGCGGACCTTGAAATCCCAGGGGGTGACTTAAACGTTTGTCATTCTGTTTCTGACCCTGGCCCTGGCCCTGTACAGGCAGTCATTTCAGTTTTCTCTTGTCAGCCATTCTTGAATCTCTCCTCTTTTTATTTCTACTGCTCTGGCTATCCAGGCCCGCATCAGTGCCTGACTATCCGATTGTTCTTTGCCTCAAGGTCTTCTCACCCCAGCTACAGTCCATTTTTCACCTGGATGTCAAGTGATCTTTCCAAAAGCCAACTCTGATCGTGTGCACACCAGTTTATGAGCTTCTGATGGCTTCCCATTTTCAGCAGGACAGTGTCAGCTCTTGAGCATGGTATCATCGGAACCCTGTGTGATCAGACCTCTCTCTCCTGCCTTTCCAGCATCATCCTTCTTGTGCTTCTTGCCCTCTTCTGTCACATGGGCCTTGCCCACACCCTTCTGCCTGTCTCAGATACTCCTCCATGCCTTCATCTGATGAACTCTTACTACTCCTTCAAAACTCAGCTTAGTGTTTTGCCATTTTTCTATAATAAACATCAATCAGATGTGTAATTAAAAATAATAATAAAAGGTTAAGAAAAAAAAGAACCCCTCCCCCTTGATTTCAGACAATATCTGGTGCAGAAAGCCTTGCTAGAAATTCCCCTCACATGAAGGGTGCCAGTGCTGTCCATGTGTCTCTGTCATAGCTGTCATCACGTGGTGTAGCTGTCAGCTCATGTGTCTGTTCCTGCCTAGGTAGCAAATTCTTTTGAGTGCAGGAACTGTGGGTTGGTTTTTTTTTTTTTTTTTCCCCATATCTGCAACAATAGCACCCAGCCCAGCACTCAGTATGAATAAGATTATCGAGTAAATACTAAATTGAACAAATGAGATAGAAACTGAATTTGGACCTAAATAAGAGACAGGACTTGGATACTGGGGAGGGAGGAAGGAAGCATCAGGAAGTCAGGCAAGGAGGCAGTGAAAAGAGGTCATTTCATAAAATATGTTGGCTAAGGATTCCTTTTTGCTTGAATTATTTATTTTTATTTACTGGGACAGCAGTTCTCTGTGACTTCCTCTGTCCAACTGTCCCCTACAGTGACAAAATTTTATTTTGAATCTTGTCAGGCTGCCTGGATCTGTATTAGTCCGTTTTGTTGCTTATAACAGAAATATCTGAAACTAGGTAATTTGCAAAGAAACAATATTTATTGCTTGCAGTTTCAGAGGGTGGGAAGTCCAAAGTGCAGGGAACACATCGGGTGAGGGCTTTCTTTGGTGGCGACTTCAGCGATGCAGGGTATCACATTGCGAGAAAGGAGAGAGAGAGAGAGAGAGTGTTTCTCATGAGCTCTTCTTTTAAAGCCATCAGAACCATGCCCATGACCAAACATTGACAGATTAATTTCATCCACAAGGAGGAAGCAGTCCTCACATTCTAATAAACTCTTTAAGACCCCACCTTTCAATTACCATAATAGGATTTCCCACCCTCTTAACCCTGTCAGTGAGGATCAAGCTTCTAATACATAAAAGTTGGGGGACACAATTGTATCTGTATCAGGATCCTGTGAATAGGACTTTCTAGATCAGCCTTGGGACTGGCTGCCCTTCTGCATGTGTGTGTCATCAGCCCAGCTGGGAGGAATGTGAAACCTCCTCTTCACCATTAGTGTCAGCAGTGTTGTGAGTAGGAATTCAAGGGGAGCGGCCATAAAAGACCAGCTCACTACTCTTTGGATTTCTGCAGCTACATTTAGGGTTTTTAAAGACAGAAAACATTACGGTAGGCTCAGTAGGTTAATTTGAAATCGTCCATTATGCAGCTCACTGAAAATGTGCTGTTCATACTACTGCAAGGAATTTGTATATTTGACCTGCGGATTTTTTGAGCTGGGAAGTCTGGGGAGAGCAGAGGAGTCCAGCTTATTTCGTGAGTCAGCTCCTCTTCCATCCCATAAAATGGGGTAGTACTTGCCACCAGGTACTGCGATGGTGGATATTCCCACCTACCTTGTGCAGCAGTTTCTTTTCCTTTTTCTTTAATTTTTCTCGATAGAGGAGATGACAAAAGGGATTTGACAAAAGTGGCCTTTCTTTAAAAACAAAAACCAATGAGGTCCAGTTTGCAAAACACCATTTAAAAAAAATATTGACTCGGCTCACTCATTGCCTTAAATTCCCTTGTGTTCCTGGAAATACCTTTAAAAATTTGCAAACTCTTTAAGCCACAGTGAACGTGTTAATTTCATTTAAGTAGTAACCTAGGCACTTGGGAAATTTAGACCACGTGAAGTATATTAAAGGCACAGTCCCTGATCTCACTGACCTATGTTTTTGTGTATTTATATTCCATCTTTGATTGAAGATGTCAAAGTGTTTTAGACAATAGACTAGATTCTTGTGTTATTAACTCTTTTGAAATGGAGACCAAAATCTTACACAATCACAGAGGAACAAGAGTCTGTTCTCTCGCTTTTTCACGGACTTTGATGTTCTTGGATGAAAGGTGCTATATAAATACAAAGCATTATTAATGTCATAATTTGAATATTTGGCACAGTGAAGGCTGGGCTGTACATAAGCCTGCAGGCTGCTGCTTTGGGTTCATTGTAATTTTCTCTCTGGTGATATTTGCACTTTGTCAAATTAGTACAGAAATTCCTTGATTTCGGGACTTATCCCAGATTTAAATCTGCTATATCAACTCCTGCTGGTGGTATGAGAAACCTGAACATGACGCATCTAATTTTCTTTCAGCCTTTCAGTGGGATCTACCTGAATAACAAGGAGTCAGGAATGTATCATTGTGTGTGCTGTGATAGCCCACTCTTCAGGTAAGATAAAGAATCAAAAGCTACTGACGGAGAACAAACCTTAATATTCATACAGCTTTATCTCATTTGAGGGCTTGGATAAATAAACACCCATAATACCCATGTTGTTTTTCATTGCCCTTCTTTTTTAGCATTGTTGCTATAAGGAGAGCTATTCATATGGGATATTTGCCTGTCTTGATTTTTTTCTAGCATTTAGAGCAGTTAGCAAGACTTAGCTTATATTCTTCTGTGAAATAGGCCCTGAGAAATAGCAGAGAAAGAAATCTTGATGGGCACCTTACTGTAAACCTATTAGAATTTTTTAGAGGAAAAGTATTGAAAGAAATCTAAACCATAATAGTATCTGCTTGGCCATGTGATTAAAACTGTCTTTCTCCCAGGGAAGATGGGTTTATAATTTAATTTAGGAAATGTAGAATCTTATGAGGATAGATTCCCACAATGCTTAACAGTAGTGAATACCATGCCCTCCTCTATGGAGCTAAAAGTAAATTGTCCCTAGATTTCAAAGCCTTTTAAGTCAATAAGGATCTGAAATCTCTCAACAAAGGCTTTTTTGTTTAGACATCAGGAAACAGTCTAAAAAAAGTAGATTCGATGAAGAAGAAAGGAAAATATCTTTGAAGTCCTGTTTTTCAGAACTTCAAAGATGTTTTCCTTTCTTTTGCATCAACCCTAAATTGGTTTAGAATAAAATATAAATCAAGCCAGCTCTGTGAATCTTCCATTAGGCAGTGCTTCCTTACATCCTTTGGGCTTTGAGTAGACTGTGCTTGCTTGGCTGCTGGTTACTAATGGGGGCTGCATTAGGGAAGCCAGACTCTCCTGCAAGGATGAGGAGCAATTCTGATTGATTTCCCTTCATGCTCACTCGAGGGCAGGCCTTTGCGCAGGTGCAATCATGTCATCAGTGGCTGGTGAAGACAGATCTAAGATGTAGTCGGCCTGGGGTGGCATGGGGGAAACTAGAAGGGGGTTAATTTTTACACAGTAAAATATGGGACTCCTATTTCTGAGACATTAGTTCTTTCTTGACCTTTGGTTCTGTTAAAGAAGAGAAGGAGGATCTCGAGATGGCCAGTGTGCCTCAGCCAAAGAACCATGTTGTCAAAGTGTAAAAGACTGCCTTGTTATGGTGGAGTCTCTACACAATGTTCTGTCTCTGTCTTTGGACTCTGAAGACGGAGGAGAAGTCACCCTTGTAACAGCACTCTCCTAAGTGCTAGTCTTCATTCTTTGACTTTGTTCTTCCAGTGCCTGCATCTGTAAAGAGCAGCCCTTCTTACTGCTCAGTGCCCACCGTCCTGTCACCATGCCGGCTGTCATAGAATCGCAGAATGTTAGAGAGGGACCTGACAGACCAGAGCGAAAGCTCCATCCAATAGAACTTTCTGTGATGATAGGAATGTTCTGTATCTGTGTTGGCCACTATGTAGCCACTAATTACATGTAGCTATTGAGCACTCCAAATGTGGCTACTGTGGCTGACAGGTGAATTTTAAATTTTATCTAATTTTAATTAATTTAAAGTTAAAAGACCACATGTGGCCAGTGGCTACTGATTAGCACAATGTTAGTTTAAATTAAGGAAGTTAAGTGACCAGCCCCAAGTCACTGAGGTAGTGAGACAGCCAAGACTAATAGGAAAACCAGCCGATGCTCTAAAAGCCCATTTACCAAGTGGCCAGTTTACCGAACTGCCAATCCACCAACTCTTGTTTCTTTTTAACCATTTTGTTTGAGTTGAAAAATTTCTGTTTTCTTTTCTTAAGGACTTTTGAATTTGTTTCTGTTCTGTTTTTCTGTTGCTGCTGCTGTGATGGAGAGAAATAAGAATATTCATAAGAATCATTTATATTCCAGAATATACTCTTATTAAAGATGATTCATTTACAGTAGAAAAGGCAGTATAGCAGAGTGGTTCAGGCTGTCTAGGTTATACATCCTGGCTCCATTGCTGTGTGACCTTGGGCAGATTTCTTAACCTCTCTTGCCTTGATTTCCTTCCAGGTAAAATGAGGACAGTGACACCTAATTCACATAAGATTGTTGGGAGGATTACCTGAGTTATGAGCAAATACATGTAAAAGCACCAGAGCAATGCCTGACATGCCTGACACATGCCAGGCACTTAACCCAAGTTAGCAATGATATGTTCTTAGAGATAGATCCTTCTTAGGGCTGTATACCTGAATGTAAATTTGATAATGAGGACTTCTGGAGAATATATTCTAATTCATGAGAAGATATAGATGGAGACTGTATTCCTGAGTGTTCTTCCCATTCAGGAGGATAATCTTGGGAATATATTCTTTGTTTTGCCTCTCATTTTACCTCTCTCTCTCTGTTTCCAGTCTCCAGCCTCTATATTCCTGCTATAGAGGTACAGAAAAAATAATCCCTTAAAATGCTTGTATAGAGTTGAAATGAAGATTTGGTTTACCAAAACTAAATAGTTAAAAAGTAAATGCAGGGATCACTGCCTCTTGGTTCCCTTCGCCAGCCGGGCTGCTCTGCACATGCATGCGGACTTTCTTTTATGTTGTGCCCACCTCCTGCGATTTTCCCACCCCCATTGTATGCTGACTTAAGTTCTATTTATTCCTGGAGTACAGATTTCTCCATGAATCCTACTCTGATAACACACAGTAAGTTTGTTTTTTTGGCTTCAAATTCCTGTTAATTTGTTAGTACCACATAATTTTGGACTTAATTGTCCTCCTATTGGCTCAAACATTTGATTTAATTGAAGAGATAAAACTGATGAGTTCCTTGAGTTCCTTGGCCGTCTTATACTTGTACATACCTCATGGAGGTTGTTATGGGTTAATCGTGTCCCCCTAAAAGATATGTTGAAATCCTAATCTCCGGAACCTATGAATGTGTCTTTATTTGGAAAAAGCGTTGTTGCAGATATAATTAGTTAAGATAAGGTCACAACAGTTAGTAGCATGTCAGAGTTCTAGTGGGGGGGGGGAATATCATACTAGAGTAGGGTGGGCCCTTAATCCGATATCACTGGTGTAGTAAAAAGAGGAGAAGGCTCACAGAGAGGAGAAGATGCACAGAGAGGAGAAGGCCACGTGAAGACAGAGGCAGAGATTGGTGTTATGCAGCTACAAGCCAAAGATTGCTGGCAACCTCCGGAAGATGGGAAGAGGCAAAGAGAGATTCCCTAGACCCTTTCAGAGGGAGCATGACCTTGTGGATACCTTGATTTTGGACTTCTAGCCTCCACAACTGAGAGAGAGTACCACCCACTTTGTGGTAATTTGTTACAGCCGCTCTTGGAAACTAATACAGAGATGCACGATAAGTACTTCTTGATTGATTGGTTAATAATGTCTGCCCTAGTGCTTAGCAGCAGTAGCAATATTGGGACTATCAAAAGAAGTTATGGTTGTGAAATCACTATGGAAATGTAAGGGAAGTAGCTACAACTTCTTGAGCTAGTGTATGCCAGACACTGGGCTCCAGTACTTTGCAAACAATCCTCACACTCCAATGAAGAGCTATCAATACCCATTTAACAGATAGGAAAGGCTTAGCATCTTTAAGTGACTTGCTCAGGGCCACACCTCCAGCAAGTGAACACGCAGGAGCCCTTGTGGTGCACTCCTCCTCAGACAGGGGGCACTCCTGCAGCGGGAGAGTCTCTGAGCATGCACAGGCCCTGTGCCCACGCTCTCCACCCGCAGCATTCTTTACCCGGACCTCTCAGCAGCCCTCAGCGGTGATGTTATATTCTCCCTTCACATAAGAAAACTGAGACTTAGGAAGGTTAAATAATTTGCCCAGGGCTCTGCCGTTAATAGATAGCCAGCCAGAATGTGAACCCATGGCTCTCGGATTCCGAAGTCCACACACTTTCTTATCCTAGTTTCCATAAGCCTCTTGGGCAACACTGTAACTAGGCAGCATCACCTTCTGGTGCCAGCTTTTAGAATCACAGGCATAGGTCACCGGGGCATAGCCAACCTCTAAGGGGTGTGTGCTCTGCCAGTTTAACCCCTGAGCCCCTTTCCAGAGCCTAGTTCCCAGCCACATCTGCCACTTAACCCCAGTCCCCTTCATGTGCCTGTAGTCACTGGAATGAATATGGTGCACGTTCTCAGAGATCTTTAATTAAGGTATCCGGGTCGAGAAGACTTTGAAGAATATTATTAGTCTTTTAGGGATTCCAGACTAGTTTCCTTAACCTTGGAATTAAGTGACATTGTCGTCTTCTTCCCATCCTGCTTCTTTCCACCTTTCTTCTAAACCCATAAGCTGATTTTGGAACTGTTTATTAAAATCTACTGTGGGGTCACATATTTCATGGTCATAAATCTTTCTAAAATAGAAGGAAACAGAGCCTTGTTCATTTTATACATAACATTCTGATGTCCTGCATATCACAAGTCACTAAGTAATATTGTTTAAAAACCTTTTGTGTGCTGCATTCCCTCAAGTGAATGGAAATTCTTAAGAGATTAGGGATGTCAGTTATCACTAGGTTCTTCTACTGTTGGTTTGGGGACTGTGGAATTTTCAGAAACGAAGGAAAAACAAAGTGAATAAACACATAAAACTAAGCAAAAGAAAACCTCTTAGTGTATATGATCCAGAATGGCTTCAGTTTTTCAAGGGTGAGCCTTATAATCTGCTAACCATTTAAATATGTATTTGGGAATTTCTAATTGGCCTTAATATTTAGGTCCCCAGTCATGTATGCTGAGCCAGCCTCTTATATTACATGGTAAAATCTCCAGATTCTACTAATTGCATCAATAAAGGTTGATTGTTTCCCATAAAATATTTTAATGACTTTTTATTAGTCTTAGATTCATTCATGTAAAAATTTTTATTATGTTGATAATCCTCCATCGAAATTCTTTAATGATCACTAGTTTATGTATAGTTTGTGATTAAAAGATACTTGTGACGTTTTTCCCTGAGCAGATGAATATTCTTGAGCCCTTGAAGGAGGGTTGCAAAGAACCTAACCTAAATGTGCCGACACTTCTGTTGGACCCACAGTTGCTTACAGATACATTTCATAGGTATCTGTTATTAATAATGATATTAAAACTAATAGCTACTGACTTATGTACTTTGTGTTAGTCACTATGTGAAATGCACTATATGCAGAAAGTAAGGTAATCATGCCATTGCTCTTTTACAGACTCAGACACTGTGGTTTCAAAAGATGAAATAACTTGCCAAGGTCATACAGATGTAGCAGACAGATCCTGGATTCACACCAAATCTTTCAGGAGTCAAAGCTCTTACTCCTAATGGTTATACCCATGGTTCTCAAAGCAAAGTCTGAGGACCTTGAGGGTTCCTGGGGCCTTTCTAGGATGAGGTCCTCCCTTTTCCAACCACATATCTGCTCCAGGCCACCTCTTCCTATACTTCAATCAAAACAACATTGCAACAGATTGATTGCAGAGGCACATGTGACGATTCAGTTGTCTTTTTTTTTAAGCCAGACATTAAAGAGTTTTGCAAAATTGTACAACTGTGCAACTCTTCTAACTAAATGTTTGCTTCCTTTTGGAAAATATAATTATTTGTCACAAAAATGTGAACAAAATGAATTTATTATTTTTAAAAATTTAATGCATACATAGTTATTAAGTTCTCAGTTATCATTTCTAATTTTTAAAATATTGATGTACTTAAACAAAAACTCTCAGGGATCCTCAATAATTTGGGGGTACAGAGGAGTCCTGGGACCAGAATGTTTGAGAATCTGTGTATTACACAGTACTGGTTCTGCTGGGGTTTGTGCTCTCAATTGAGCTTCCTTTGTGAAATCTAGGGATTTCATTCTTTGCCACTTTTTTCTTCTTTGCTTAGTTTTTGCTGGGTTTAACATTCAGTTCTTCTCTTTCTTCCTTAGATAGAGCATCTCCCTGCCATTTAAACATTTTTTAAAAAGTCTTTTCCTAGTGCTATTTCAGGGCGCTTCCCCATCAGAGCACTTAGAGAGTGAGTCTTTGGTTGGTAGCTGTGCTTCTTGTCCTCCTCTTCCTCTGGCCAGCTCATCTGGCCCACTCCAGTCTTCAGCACCATCTGTACCTGGGAGACTTCCTGGAGGGTCAGGCTCCACTGCAGTGATCAGTGCTGAGGCTTATTTACTAAATCATCATAGTGAGCGTTCATGAGCACTTACCATGTGCCTGGCACTGCTAAGCTTCACACTACGCTCTGCAGAGTATCCCCTTAAGTCCTCAAAATAGCTCTGTGGGGTAGATATTATTACCCCCATTTTACAGGTGAGAAAACTGAGTCTTCAAGAGGTTATGTAGCTTGCCTAATTTCACACAGCCATGAAATGGCAGGGGCAGTTTTGGAATCCCTGCAGGTAGTCAGCCTTCTGTGTTTAGATAACCCAAAGTTCCCATTACTAAATGAAAATATGTTTCAACAGGTCTTACATTTCTCTGATGATCCAAGAGCATGATGACCTCCTTTGACCACTTTATTTTGTTTAGATCTCTCCCATTTCTACATTTTGAACACCAGGATTTGATCTGTGTTTCCTAATATGCAAACAGAGTTTGCAAAGCCCCTAGTGTTTTTAGATCCTTGTTGGACATCAAGAAAGAAGCCTTTATCATCAAAGGAACAAGAAACCTTTCACTGCAACGAGACAATGTCTTTAATAGCGAAGGTGCCGTGAGACAGATTCCTGTGCAGCCGACTGTGCACATAACTGGGCTTGGGATCTAGGAGAGGAGAGGAAGAAGCAGCTCCTCTTCCCTGGAAAAATGAGTAGGGGTGTAAAATGCTCTTGGTATATTCACAAATGTCTTTAATAGTATGGTGAATGTCTCCTACAGTTCTGAGAAAAAGTACTGCTCTGGCACTGGATGGCCTTCGTTTTCTGAGGCTCACGGAACTTGTGGCTTGGATGAGAGTCACACAGGGATCCTGAGGCGTCTGGACACCTCGTCGGGATCAGCTCGCACAGAGGTTGTCTGCAAACAGGTGGGTGTTTCGTTTGTTTGGTTTTCCCTGATGCTGCCCCAAGTGCCATGAAGAGCTCTCTTGTCCTTGGCATGTCTGGTGCTCTTCTGTGTGGGTACACTTCTTCCTTTCTCCCATCATTCCGGGTATTGCAGATGAGAGAAGAAGGCTCTCTGAGCCTCTCAAGTGGCCTTTCCTGGTTCTAGCCTTCCACAGGGATGGAGACAAGGCAGGATCTGAAGGGAAGAGTTGGCCCTTCATCTTCTTTTGAGCAGGGACAGGCAGCAGGAAGGCCCGGAGTGGTCAGAGTCTCTGCTTTCCTTTTCCACGCTGTAGGGTGTCACCAACAGGCAGAGCGATTCTGCAGGTGACATGAGAGCAATACTGCAGGTAACATCAGTACTGTTACTTCTGTGAGCCTGGTGGGAGAGAGTGGCTTAAATACAGACAGCCAATTCATTTTGATATCCCCGATGCTAACATTTTCTAACTCACGGGTTTTATAAAACCAGGGGCAAGGCAGATAAAGGTAGTGTAGTTTTGCCTGAAGTAAAAATCATAGTAATACACTGGCTACAACCACATTATTCAGTACTTACCCAAGAATTGTGTTAATGCTTTACATGCATTATGTCAAATAATTATCACAACAGCTCTTATTATGTAGGTATAATTATTATCTCCATTTTATAGATGAGTAAATCAAGGCCTAAATTTAATAACTTGCTCGCATTTTCACTGATAAAGTAGAGCTCTTTACCACCACTGTGCTCTGCATTCTTTCATTTAATCAAATTCTGACAGGATAGACTTTTCTCCCCCCATACAGGTCGAATTCTGGAGGGGGTGACGATGTGGGGGTTTGTTTGTCTGGTTTTACATAACAAGCTTTGTTTTGGCTGAGAAATGACCGAGGCCTCTCTCCTTTGCAGTGTGAAGCTCATCTTGGCCATGTGTTTCCTGATGGACCTGGGCCCAATGGTCAGAGGTTCTGTATCAACAGTGTGGCACTGAAGTTCAAACCAAGCAAACTCTGACCATCTCCAAGAGTCTCCTTCCCTGGCCACTCCTTCATTGACATCCTTGATTTTCATAATTCATATGAATGACTTGATTTATTGACTATAGATCTAGGCAAAGTCTGCTTCTGGCACCCGGCAAGTCACAGCTTCTCTTAATTTCTTTACCTAGAATCAACTCAACCCTAACTTCCACTTAGACTATGGAATTTCACAGAATGACCGAGGGGCAGTCATTTCCATCAAACTGACTTCCATAGGTTTTGCCTGAGGCCACAGGATATGACGATTTGGGGACATCAGGAGGCTGATGGATTAGTAAGCTAGAAAATTCCTACAAATCTATCCTGAACTTTGCACTGTGGTTAAGTCCTTTGTGGACATACATAGTAAGGGATCAAGTGAAAAGAGGAAGAAAATATGGGATCAGAGGAATTGACAGCCCAACATGGGCTGTCCAGTTAGCTTAGTTGGTTAGAGTGCTGCCTTGTAACACCAAGGTCAAGGGTTCAGATCTCTGTACTGGCCATGCCCTTAAAAAGCAAGACAATCCCAGCATTGGAGAGTAGGGTTGCAGAGGAGCTGTGCTTTGGGAGGCACATTATAGTGATGGATGAGATGCGTGATTTTTTTTCAAAATTTTAAATATCTTTAATGTTTTACTTTTAACCTCTCTACCTACAAATGAACTCCAATGGGAGTTAGATTTCAGTGATTATATATAAATGTTCACCCTCATATGGTCTGGTGGCAAAGTTAATCTTTAAAACATCAAATAAAATTTTTACTAAAATTTATGTTTGCTTTTTGTATAAGTGAGTTTGCTCTTTTATAAAAGTAACTTTAAATCAAAATGACAAAGAAGAATTAGGTCACATGGTAGTAGGCATTTGATTATACCAAGACTAATAGCAACTCGAGTATTTTATAAATTGAGAGGCTTGAATAACTTGTTATTACAAGTATTTAAAACATTCTCTTTGTGACTTTATGGGCAGAAAGGAAACTTAATTATTCCATTTTTCTCTTTATTAACTTTTATACATTATTTTACATTTCTTTTACTACCCTGGGAATCACAACATGGGTCCTTCACTTGTTACCTTCATAAATAAATCATTACTTTTTTTGGCTTCTCCAAGAATGCTAACCTTAGAACACTTTAATTCCATTAACATGCTCACATATTTTGTGTTACTCTTGTCGTGTGTTTAATTTTACACAACTTTTAAACCCCAAATCATCATTAATAATACATATAGTTGATATCCACTTATACTTACCTACATTTTTGTCCTTTTTGTTGGTTTTTATTTCTTCCTGCAATTCCATGTGTCCCTGTGGGATTATTTTTCTTTTGCCTGAAGTACTTCTTTTATTTTTCCTTTAGGTTCATGTTTTCTAGTGATGAATTTTCTGTTTTTGTTGATAAGAAAATGTATTTATTTTCTTTTCATTTTTGAAGAATATTTTCCCTGAGAAATTAGAATTCTAATTTGGAGTATTAGAATTTTTTTTCCCATATAGATAGCCAATTGCTTCAGCACCATTTATTGAAGACTTTCCTGAATTTTCTTGGCATTTTTACCAAAAATTAGTTTCCATATAACTGTGGGTCTATTTCTGAAGTCTGTTTTGTTCTATTGATACATTATGGCACTTAATCCCCAATGAATTGGTTACTATAGCTTTATATTTATAGCTTTTTTGAAATCAGGTAGTATGAATTTTCCAACTTTGTGCTTTTTCAAAATTGTTTTGACTATGCCAATTCCTTTGCATTTTCATATAAAGTTTAGAATTAGCTTGTAAATGTCTACAAACAATCGTGCTGGGATTTCAATTGGGATTGCTCTGAAGATATTAGATCTATTTGGGGGAATTGACATCTTAATAATCCTGAGTCTTCCAATCCATGAGCCTTGTATATTTCTTCATTTATTTAAGTCGTCTTTAATTTTTCTTTTTTTTTTTTTTTAAAAAAGATGACCGGTAAGGGGATCTCAACCCTTGGCTTGGTGTTGTCAGCACCACGCTCAGCCAGTGAGCTAACCGGCCATCCCTACATAGAATCCGAACCCGTGGCCTTGGTGTTATCAGCACCGCACTCTACCGAGTGAGCCACGGGCCGGCCCTAATTTTTCTTTGAATGTTTTGCAGTTTTCAGTGTGTGGGTCTTACACACATTTTGATAAATTTATCCTGAAGTATTTTAATAGCTTTAATGCTATTATATGTTGTTTGTTATTTAAATTTCATTTTCTATTTGTTTATTGCTATTACATAGAAATACAATGATTTTTTGTGTTTTGAACTTGTATTCTGAAAACTTACTAAGTTGAGTTACATTGGTCCTAGTAGTGTTTTTTTTTTTTTTTTTTCTAGATTCCTTGGAGTTATCTGCATACATAATCATGTCTGCAAATAGGACAGTTTTATTTCTTCTTTCCAACCTGCCATTTCCTTTTTCCTGCCTTATTCCCCCACCTCTTAATACTATCACACTGGTGATTAAGTTTCAGCATATGAATTTTGGGGGGACACATTCAGACCATGGCAGCTTTCAACAGATGTGCCTTGATGTGTATGCCTTTGTTTTTCTTCTATTTGTTATATCTTGTATGTGTAAATTTTTGTCTTTTATCCAATTTGGGAGATTCGATTATTTCTTCAAGTATTTTTTTTCTGCTGTTTCTCCTCTCTCATTTCTGTTGTTCCAATGACAGAAATGTTTGACCATTTGATACCATCTAACAGCTCACTGAGGCACTGTTCATTTTTTTCAATCTTTTTTTCCCTCTCATTTTCACCTTGGTTAATTTTTATTGATATATCTTCAAGTTCACTTTTTCTTCTGTCATAGCCATTCAGTTTTTAATCTATTTAGTGCATTTTTTAATTTCAGAATTTTTTTTTTTTTTTTTTTTTGGCAGCCCGGTAAGGGGATCTTAACCCTTGCCTTGGGTCATAGCCATTCAGTTTTTAATCTATTTAGTGCATTTTTTAATTTCAGAATTTTTTTTTTTTTTTTTTTTGGCAGCTGGCTGGTACAGGAATCAAACCCTGGACAGAAATTGTATTTTTAGCTCTAAATTTCCATTTGTTTCTTCTTTGCTGTTTCTTTGTTGAGGCTTCATGTTTCTCTGCTGATATTTTGATTCATTGAAAGCATATTTTGTTTTATTTCATTAAGGAGAGTTAGAATAGCCAATTCAAAATCCTTGTCTGTTAGCTCCAATATCTGGGTCATCTTGGGGTAGGTCCTTATGGATTTTCTTTTCTGTTGAGAGTGTTTCCTTCCCGCCACTCCCCCCACCCCCACCCCATGTCACGTAATGTTGTTTCCTTTGTTTTAGCAGGTAGTATTCTTAGCTGGAATTGAACTGCAAACTCTTTTTCTTGGATAGAAGCTTCAGTCTCAGTTCAGATTTTTGTTGGCGTTGCTGTCTTTAGCTGAGCTGCTTTGAGTCTGTTCAGGGGTCAATTAGACGTGGGTGCACAAAGTTTGGGGATCCCCTCTCTGGCTTTTTCCCTCAAAAGATTCCCTCACTCTTCATTGTTCAGTTTTCTGGTTTCCCTTTTCTGGTTTCCCAGACTAAAAAGGCTGACACCCCCCCCACACACACACACACACACTGTATGTACCACCTAGACTTCACTTAGCCTTGGGCTAAAACCTGGGGAAATGAGAACTGACTTCTATAGCTCCCCATTTCCTCTTCTTCGAGCCCCCTCACATTCTTCACTAGAAACCATCTGCTTCTGTTCATTCTCCAGTACTGCAGGCAGTTGCTTTTGCATCACGTCGAGATTTTGCAGTCGTTTTCGGCAGGAGCATAGTCATCTGGAAGGGTCCTAGTCATTACTCCCAGAAGTGGAGCAGAGATGTAGGACTCTTATTTGCTGGTACCTTGTTTCAAGGCTGTGTCTTCATTTTTGGCCTAGTCTGCGATAATTTAATTGTGTTTTTATCCAATAATGTTATACATTTTGTGGCTGATTTATCCTTGGGAGGCTCACCAGGAAGCTACACAGATTAAAAACGTTAAATGGTGCTTCAAAAGTTCATCACTGAGAAATTTTTCTGAAGCCAAAGGCTATTATTGGTCACCCTTTATTTTACATGTTTTCCAGGCTATAATTCTTATAGCTGTGTTCTGTGGCTTCGTGATCTGGGATCCTTTAATGTGCTTGAGGGGATTCATGAACCCCCAAAATTGAAAAAGAAATATGACATCTTTTTTCTAGGAAGAGGTTTAGTAACTGTTATCCAATTTTCAAAGGAGTCCTTTGCCTAAGATTGATTGAAATCCATAGTACTTGGCAGTACAATTATGGAGATTTGAGTGTTGTCAAACATAAGGAGGGCAAGAATCTTGTTTTGATTCCTTAATTTTTATAAAAGAATGTCAAGTCTAAATTTTGCCTTGTTGCTTTTTCATATATATATATATATATATATATATATATATATATATATTGGCCATCACAAGGAACATATAAAATGTAGCAAGTGGATCTTTAACAGATTAATTTGTATTATGATTTCCTTGATACCCTATAGCTTTTTTTCTTACAATCCAGAAGTCTCTTTTGTATTTATTCTGCCATGCATTCTTAGGGAACAGTATCCAGCAGCTCAAGCTTCTTCCCGCTGGTCTCACAATGTGTTTCTCTGGGTGGAACAGGCTGGTGTTTCAGCTGATTCCAGGTCCTTTCTCACTGGCTTCCTTTTTCTGATCATCTTCCTCCACGAGTTTCGGGAAGCTGTCCTAGCGTACTCAAAAAGCTCAATGCACACATTAAGTCTCTTAGCAGGAGTCTTGCCCTTAACTTCTTTGTTCACGGTGATGCCAACAGCATGCTGGGTGACACTGCAGACTTTTCCCGTTTCACTATGGTAACTTTGTGGGGCAGTCCTTATTGAACAGTACCCATTCCCTTGATCTCTACAATATGGACTTTCTTGTAAAATTGCATGTATATGGCCAAAGAAGCAGCACTGTTTTTTTTGTTTGTTTGTTTGTGTTTTTTTTTTTTTGGACCAGTAAGGGGATCGTAATGCTTGGCTTGGTGTCGTCTGCACCACACTTAGCCAGCGAGTGCACCGGCCATCCCTATATAGGATCCGAACCTGCAGCCTTGGCGTTATCAGCGTTGCATTCTCCTGAGTGAGCCATGGACCGGCCCAGCACCATGTTTTCTAAAAGGCAGAAAGAACATAGTGTGCCTCTCTTCTCTTCCTTTCTTTGTTTGTTATTTTGAATTACTGGAAGATGACAGTCCCAATCAAAAGGCCTTTTGACTCCTCTTGTGGTGTTTTATGAATCAAGATATTTTGTGCTAGATTCTGGCTATGAATACAATTTATGTGCTGAATTCTGGTTTCCAAACTTTAGTGGGCTTTAAAATATATTCATTATATTCTAGCCAGTTGAGATCATATTGCAACAATATAAATCACCATTAACAGCTGGTTATCATCATACTGTAAAAAATATAAATCATTATAAAAGACCATAGATTCCATTTGCTGAATGTTCTGCTATTGACTGAAAAAAATCTCTGCTGCCACTTTCAGTATGCCTCTCAGTTGGGTTCTGTTACTTTATTTTTTATCCCTGTATAATAGTTTGAGGAAATTTATTTATTCTAGAAAAGAAGGAATCCCAGGGAGGGTAGTTGTATATTTATATGCTGGCCATTTTTCCTGGATATTAAATGTTGATTTCCATTTTTGTTCCTTGTTGTTTCTTTCCAGAGAGCAAACTCTGGTTGTCTCTGCTCACTCTCTTCT